TTGAATAGACAAAATATCTGCTTAAAATAAAGCATAGTGTGTATAAGTTAAAAGTCTGTTTTATTCTTGATTCATACATCTTACCATTTTCTGATCTTTTAGGGTCAAAAATTTAATTTTAATTTGTGCTTTCTTTTTCTAAATTTCTAGATACGTGTTTGATATTTACTCTTATTATTCTAAATTTTATATTTTAAATACTCGGAAAAATACTGCGGTTTCATTCTAACATGCTTCAATAAAAATTAACGAAGAATAATTTTCAGCATTCTACGCTGAAATTGTGAAATTCTAAGCTAAAATTGTGAAATTCTACGCTGAAATTGTGAAATACTACGCTAAAATTGTGAAATTCTACGCTGAAATTGTGAAATTCTACGCTGAAATTGTGAAGAAATTGTGAAATTCTACGCTGAAATTGTGAAATTCTACGCTGAAATTGTGAAATTCTACACTAAAATTGTGAAATTCTAAGCTGAAATTGTAAAAATTTTACGCTGAAATTGTGGAATTCTACGCTGAAATTGAGGACGAAAAAGAGGATTTCTTGAGAACAATGAACTTAAACAACTTTTTTATTTAAATTAAACTGTAATCTTAATAGATATAACAAAATTCAATATTTCATGCTTGCTCTAAAATGAGGCAAGATTTAAAAAATGTTTACAACCATATGGAGTCAGCAGAAAATGGAAAAAAATTACGAGGATCATTATCAAGAAGTGGTTCGAATGGAAAAGTAAGAATGCGGCTCGGATGCAGGAACTGTTTACCTTGCCTTCCTCCCCTCCCTTGTCATTACTTTAGTATAAGTGTATGACCAGTGAATTTATTTTTGCTCTTTTTTCCGTGCATCACCTCTATACCCTGCAGCCCCCATGCAACCAGCAGAATCAGGGTGAGCCTCACTGAGGGGGTTGAGGGGTAGGGATTAAAATTGAGAATTTAAATTTAGAAAAAAAATATTTTAAGCCAAACTTTATAAAATTTTTCATCAATCTATTGTTTTTATTGATATATTTTTTAGAAACCTCCTTTTTCCCGCATCTCAAGAGAGTATATATATAAGTTTATCCAATACACAAATATCATTGTTGTTTTCTCTGAAAATATACAATCATGGAATTTATCAAAACTAGTTTTGTTTGGTTTGGTTTGGTTCTAGCTTTGACTCTAATAGTGTCCGCTGCACCAGAATCAGGTAATAAAAAAACTACAGGGACTGGTGACGAGGAGAGGAAGGCCAGCCACAACAATTTCTCGTCCGAGCCACATTCTCCTCATTTTCTCGTCCGAGCCACCTCGAAATTCTCGTCCTTCGCTTATTATGTGTTTTTAAGTTTCTAAATCTTGAAGATAAAGCTATCTTATAAAATCAGGCCACGTTAGGGCATAACATATGGATAGACTAAAATATTGCAATGATTAAATCATGTTGAAATCTTCAAAACCATGAGAATGATGTCAAACTTTATTTAGGTGAAACTTGAATCTCTTCTGCCTCCATAATGGCTAACCTTCGTGATACAAAATAAATAGCAAAATATTTGGCATACCTCTGCCTATAATTTTTCCCATGGAATCACCCGAAAAAATGCTATGGTTTCCGCTAAAATTAACGAAAAAAAATCCAAGTTCTATAAACTTGGAATTATTTGCGGCATTCTATACCTAGATTATCTAAAAAAACGAGTAAAAAAGGTGAATATTTTCAAAAACTTAAATTCTATTGAAAGTATTTCTTTCTATTTACAAAAATTTAATATTTCGTTAATGCTCTAACGTGACTGGATTCTTAAAAAATTGTTTTATCTTAGAGAATTGAACACTTCAAAAAGATAATATTCGAAGGACGAGGATTTCGAGGTGGCTCGGACGAGAAAATGAGGGGAATGTGGCTCGGACTAGAAATTGCTGTGGCCTTCCACTAGAAGAAGCCATTTTTGCTTTTCCAACTTAAAATAGATTGAATAATTTGCCGTGGATTTATCTGTTATGAACAAGCAAGAAAACTATCGATATATAGAGCAAATAAGGGTCTATTGTCACTCAACATAAGGCATCTTTTGCTTTCACAAAAGTTTACCATTTATCTATTCTGAGTTGGTTTAATCAAACTTGTTTTTCAATAGAACACAAAACATTTATCTATTTCAATTATTCTCCAATTTTAAAAATGTAAAATATCAGTTCCAATGAAATTAAAAAAAATTAACCCATCATGAGTGAAATCACCTCAGTAAATTAATGACAGATTTGTATTGTAAGCAATCAAATTTCCTTCTCTCCATGATTTATATTTTTTTTTGTAAATTTACCTTCCTATCGAATAAAGAAACCAATTTTTTTCTGATTACAAAGATTTAATAATATGGTTAAAAACAGACTTCAGGATATATTTTTTAATAATTTTGATGGGTGAGTGAAAAATATTTCTAAATGTGTAATTTGATGATTTAACCAATTTAATGAGATTTCGAAAAATGACATAGTGGGTTGAAACTTCAGATCTTCAGGTTGTTGAATTTTTGAACCTTTTTGTTAATACAACTACTATATCTCCGACTATAGGGCTGCTGGAACGTGGTGCTCCCTGTAACTCCAATACCGACTGCGAGGAGGGGAAGAGCTGCTTTAACTACAACGGGTCGGGGAAGTGTGCCACATACAAGTAAGAACAATTTTTATTCAATTTCGATAGAAGTGTTTTTGCGCATTTTTAGGATCTTTGGAATTTGTTCCGAGGCAAATAAGTGACTTTTTATCCTTGCAACACCAAGAGTTTCTTGAACTTTCCGCACATTTAAGGAAACTTGTCGATAAGGAAACTAGTAGATAAGGAGACTAGTAGATAATGAAACTAGTAGATAAGGAAACTAGTAGATAATGAAACTAGTAGATAAGGAAACTAGTAAATAATGAAACTAGTAGATAAGGAAACTGGTAGATAAGGCAACTAGTAGATAAGTAAACCAGTAGATAAGGAAACTAGTAGATAATGAAACTAGTATATAAGGAAACTAGTAAATAAGGAAACTAGTAGATAATGAAACTAGTAGATAAGGAAACTAATAGATAAGGAAACTAGTAGATAATGAAACTAGTAGATAANAATCTTCTGTTTCAGGAGGCCCCAACCTGTGGACCATATCTCAGAGAAAACTGAAAATCTTCTGTTTCAGGAGGCCCCAACCTGTGGACCATATCTCAGAGAAAACTGAAAATCTTCTGTTGGTTTTTGAGAACCAAACCAATCAAATAAACCTAGTTTATTAGTTTGTCAACAATTGTAGTTTATAAAGTTTTCTTTTTGAAAAAATAAAGATTCTGCATTTGTAGTTCTTCTTGTCATTCTTTGTATAACATTCATAATTTTTATTACTGTTAGTCATGTACAAATAGAAATAAAGAAAAATACAAATATAAGAAAAATACAAATAAAGAAAAATGCAAATATAAGAAAAATACAAATATAAGAATAATACAAAAAAAAGAAAAATACAAATATAAGAATAATACAAATACAAGAAAAATACAAATATAAGAAAAAAATACAAATATAAGAATAATACAAATACAAGAAAAGTACAAATATAAGAAAAATAAAAATATAAGAAAAATACAAATATAAGAATAATACAAATATTAGAAAAATACAAATAAAAGAAAAATACAAATATAAGAATAATATAAATACAAGAGAACAGCAAATATTAGAAAAATGCAATTATAAGAATACAAATATAAGAATACAAATATAAGAATAATACAATTTCAAGAAAAATACAAATAAAAGAAAAATACAAATATAAGTATAATACAAATACAGTTGAGAACAGCAAATATAAGAAAAATACAAATATAAGAATAATACATATACAAGAATAATACAAATATAAGAAAAATACAAATATAAGTATAATACAAATACAATTGAGAACAGCAAGTATAAGAAAAATACAAATATAAGAATAATACATAAACAAGAATAATACAAATATAAGAGCAATTGTGGCAGTCCCAGAACTTAAGGTATCTCTTGATGAGATTGAGTGGATCTCCTATTCCTGACTGGATCATCTAGCTGCTCTAGATATGTAAAGAGCTGTCTACAAAGAGCAACGTCTCCAATCCCAGGATGGTATAGCATCTGGTATCCTGGATTATCTCATTCATATCTAGAAATCCCGTCCTCATAGATCCTTGTTGTTATCATCATTGTTGTCATCATTGTTATCATCATTGTTATCATCATTGTTATGATCAAGAATAGATCTGTGGAGAGCTGTTCCCAAAAGAGTGGCGTCTCCGTTCACAGAATCCTCTGGTTCCACTATTGGTTCCACAACAGGTCTAGCTTCTGCACCTGGAGTACTAAGTCTGACTAGATTTTCTAGCTGCTCCAGATATGTGGAGAGCTGTCTGTAAAGATCAGCTTCTCCAATCTCAGCTGTAGGCAGCATCTGATATATTGAATATCCTGGTTCTCCTCTGTATCCAGGATATTCCAGTGGGTAGTTCAGACGGGTTGGTACGAGAGTAGTTGAACTAGTTGGACTGGAGTAGAACCTCATTGTCCTAGATCTGTACTTGCTCTATATTTCAAGTGGACCTAGCTCATTAGGCCCAGCTCGAGTATCTGGAGTGGTTGAACTAGCTGTAGATCGGAAGAGTTACTCTATACCTCCAGTACGTGGACCTCTCAGTAGGCCCAGCTCGAGTATATAGAGTGATTGATGATGAGAATGAGGCTGTCCAACCTCTGATAGTCCTGCTAAGGTATATTATCACAAGGGCTCGCAATTGCGCGCAAGTAAAATCCACTTGCGTTGGAAACACTANCTGTAATGCCAGCTGTCTTGACCATTAGTTTTTTATTGGAAACATTTTTTTTCTTACACCAAATCCACGGAAGGGACTATCAACACATTGAAAACAGTTTTTGGACACCACTTAAAATTTCTTTCATGAACATCATGATATTTTTTTTCTTTGGACTTTGATGAATGAAATAAATAGCTAGTGTTCTAATTGGTAGGAGTGGGTGAAGCTTAATGTTGGTGGAACTGTTTTCATGACAACTAAAAGTACACTAAGTAAGGTATAATGTACGAAATCTGAATCATATTGTTAGATTTTTCAAGAATTGTTTTTAACTTTTTATAGAAATATTTCATAGAAATTCGTAAAACCATGAGCTTCAAAAAGTTTTATGTTGCGATTTTTTTGTAATTTCTACAAAAAATTTAATTTTTTTTAATGAATGATTTTTTAATATATTTTCCTCTAGGATCAGAACTCTTTCTTATGCAGATTATGTCAGGATGGAAATGAACTGGGGTCAGATAAGGTAGAATTTAAGAAATTGATGTCACATATATTAGTACTTGTACTTTATTTTTATTTTCTTACTTATCTTTATTACAAAATTTTTAAAATACACTTACATGTCCCCCCACGCCCACTCCCTTTCTCAATTCAGATTTTGAAAAAAAATGTATTCAATACCAATAGTTTTATTGGTCAAGTCTATCAACGAACAAATATCAAAACATAATACTGACTCACTATTATGGACATTATGAACACTTTAAAGCAATTCGGGAAGTAATTTTATACAATATTAATTCTCATTGTTTTTTATATGTAGGATGAAAACGGTGCTTTTTTAATAGATCGAGATCCACAATATTTTGGGCCTGTGCTGAATTTTCTCAGGTAATAGGTAGCAATTACAGGAAACATACATTCAAATCCGCAATTTGTGCACATTTCTAAACCTGGTTTGAACTAATGCCCCCTGAAATACAAGGGGAGCTGAGGGGGGGGGGGGGGAGTTGACTAAATACGTTTTCTTGTCATGCTTAACATTATTCAAATACATTGTACCGTGCACTATCCGGGTATGGTAATCTTTATACAATATCTATACCTATTTGTAATTTATATAGACATGGTAAATATATGTTCTATATCTAGACATGGTAACTATATGTTCTTATCTGTACATGGTAACACATGGTAACTATATGTTCTATATCTAGACATGGTAACTATATGTTTTATATCTAGTCATGGTAACTATATGTTCTATATCTATACATTGTAACTATATGTTCTATATCTAGACATTGTAACTTTATGTTCTATATCTAAACAGGGTAATGGTAACTATGTATATGTTCTATATCTATACTTAGCAACTATATGGTCTATATCTAGACATGGTAATAGGGTAACCATATTTCCTATATCTAGATATGGGAACAGGGTAACTATATGTTCTATATCTAGACATGGTAAGCTAGTCCTTGATAAGAATACAAGTGAAGAAGGGGTTCTCGAAGAAGCAGAGTTCTACAGTATAACAGGTAGGGCAGCTCAATCTATCAATTAAACAATTAATCAATCAATTAATCAACCAAAAAGTTTTACAAACAATCAACAAATAAATAGATACAGAAACCCCTAAAAATTTTTATTTTTTCTCAGATTTGATCCGAGTTCTGCGTGAGCGTATATTGAAGCGTGATACCGTGAATACTCCAACTGGAAAACATGTTTACAGGTCTCATTACATCTTTATTTTGAATACAAAGGGTTGGCAGAAAAAAAACTTCCCAATACAATCCGATTAAATCAAGTGGGCTGGGTTTAAAAAAAGGTGTTTTTACAACCCATTTTTAACCCTTAATCCTCGATTCGTTGTGAAGCTGGGTAAATTGTTTCCTTGTTGGTTATGTTCAGGGGGTGGCAATGTACGCTTGATTAGGTATAGATTTTAAAGTAACATTTGAGAAATCGGGTATAGCTCAGGGGGGGAACAGTCATGTGTGTGTGTGTAATAAGGAACCAAAAAGTGTACTGTCGGTGTATACAGTACAGAAGAATCTCGGTATTTGTATAGTCTAGGAGAGTAAATTTGTTTGTTATTCAAGCTTAATTATAATTGCCGACATTGTTCTGCACTTTTTCTTGACTAAAGTCATATGTTTGTTTCTGTACCAAAAAGTGTGTGTGTGTAATAAGGAGCCCTGCAAAACAGTGCGACTGGCTTTCTCATGGCAGACCAGCGCCATTTCATTCCCTTTATTTATTCTTGTTCCCTGTTATAGCTTCAGTAGGAAGCATAGAGTACCATATTAATGCTTACAACCAGCGTTTCGGATCCGGATCCGGTCGGATCCGTATCATTTGGTCGGATCCGGATCCGGATCCGTATCAGGAAACGTTGATATGGATCCGGGTAGCGCCAAAAATTAACCAAAACCATGGAATAAATAAATCAAAATGGTTCGTAAATGTATTATTTACATGACGAAAATTTTTTAAAATTATCTTTAATAATTTAATGTTTACATTTATATAATAGTAATGACGACATTTTTAACTTTAGGATTACTCAGCGGCAAATGCTCACATGGCGCAAATTATAACCTTGCATAACATTTAATAGGGAAAATCCGATTCACAGAATCAAAAGTTACCTCGGATCCGGATCCGTATCAGAGTCAGGATCCGGATCCATCATCACGTATGCGGATCCGCGGATCCGGATCCGCATCAAAATGATACGGATCCGAAACACTGCTTACAACAAACCTTTGAGTGGGGGGATGCACTGCAGTACGATATTTGTTTATTAAAATTTTGTTCAATTCAAAACTTTATACAATAAACATGCTTTATTGCTTTGTCAATTGTGATGTGAATCATTTTTCTGAAACTATGATACATAAGTTTAAAAAGGAATGTTGTGATCTGAATTTGTGTAATCAGTGAAAAATCAGGTATTTTAAAACAATTGTTTGATTTGAGGTCTACATGGACATATCCCACGCACTGCATATACATATTAAACTGTATTGCATGACCTATTGGATAGAATTAGTGGAGAGTACAATTCCCAGTGTACAGCACATACATTACCAATCTATATACTATTTTCCATTCAGAGTACTTTCAAGGCTAGTCTTTCCTATCTTAAAAAAAAGCGCAAGTAGCGATTTAAAATGGTACCATATATACCCAAATTGTACAGTGCTAATCAGAAAGACCCGGAATTAATTTACAATTAATCAGGCGACTTTTCAATATAATTTTACAAAATGATTGAATAAACGATAATAACAAAATTTCAAAATTGCCAGTGATAAATCATATATGTAAAATCGCCTAATTAACTATCAATTAATTCCGAGTCTTTCTGATTATGACTGTATATGTTTATTTTTAAGATTTTCATACTTATTTAATTTGGAACTTTTATCATCAGTACAGATCTATAATTTTGAAATAAAAATTGATTTTTAATCTACTGAAATATCTATTGTTCCAGGGTTCTACAGTGTCATGAAGATGAGTTAACTCAGATGGTTTCAACGATGTCGGATGGTTGGAAGTTTGAACAGGCAAATAACAAATAAAACAACATTAAACAACTAATCAAAAATAAGAAGATATGAAAATAATTCATTAAGGAGAAACAAAAATCGAAATTTCAAAACTAAAGAAAAAATAAGACTTTGAATAAGAACAAAGAAATGAAAATCATTTAAAATCATTCAATAGACAGAAAACTGCACATATTGAATCAAAACAAATGAACAGAATCAGAATTTGAACAATACATAACTAAAAAAACAAACTTATGAAAATCTAAAAGTAACATCAGACGGATTGTAAAGAAAATAAAATGTGAATAAAATTTCAGAACAAACAAGAAATAAAATTGCTTTGTATTTAGTTGATAAACATTGGTTCCCAGTATCAGTATGGTAACGAGGAACATGCAGAGTTCTTGTGTGTGGTCTCTAGAGAATATCCACAGGTTAATTCAGTTTATAACTCATCACTCACAGTTTTTACTCATCACTCACAGTTTATAACTCATAACTCACAGTTAACAACTCATTACTCAAAGTTTTAACTTATCACTAACAAATTTACAACTCATCCTAACAGTTTTAAATTCATACTTTGCAACTTTCAGTTCAAAATGCACAGTTTACAACTCATCACTCAAAGTTTTAAAGTATCACTAAAAAATTAAAACTCATCACTTACAGTTTTCAACTCATCACTCACAGTTTTAAACTCATAACTCATAATTTGTTACTCTTAAGTCACAGTTTTTAACTCATCACTCACAGTTCACAACTCATAACTCACAGTTTATAGCTCATCACTCACAGTTTATAACCCATTACCCACAGTTAAAAACTCATCACTTACAATTTTAAACTCATAATGCACACAGTTTTTAAATCATAACTCCCAGTAACCAACTCATGACTCACAGTTTATTACTCATCACTCACAATTTTAAACTCACAGTTTACAACTCATCACTTACAGTTTACAACTGATCACTCAAACTCATAACTCACAATCTACAACTCAAACCCCCTCTCAACTCAAATCACAAAACATAACTCACGACTCTGTTTCACAAACCTTGCAACTCAAATTACAAAAAAACTCACAACATAAAACAAAAAACTCACAACAAAAAACAAGAAAATCATAACATAAAACAAGAAAATCACAACATAAAACAAGAAAATCACAACATAAAACAAGAAAATCACAACATAAAACAAGAAAATCACAACATAAAACAAGAAAATCACAACATAAAACAAGAAAATCACAACATAAAACAAGNTGTACGCTAGCGTATAGAGTCAACAAAACTTAAGATGCCGTTACATGTCCAACACGGTTTTCAAAACTAAAACGTGAAGTTTTTTTTACTTTGACTTCTAGACATCTATTGATGAAAATCACAACATAAAACAAGAAAATCACAACATAAAACAAGAAAATCACAACATAAAACAAGAAAATGTCTACATAAGATAAGAAAATGTTTAATAAAGATTGAACAATTTAGTTAATATTCTGACAAATCTAAAATCTACATATTATTGTTTAGCTAGCTAACATATTCTGATTCAACGAATGAATTTTAGCAATAAACTGTCCTGCAGTGTCTGATTTACCCCAAAGTTCAATCCATATGTAATTGATCGTTATTAGATAAATAAATGGATTATATATAAGAAATTTGCATACCCTGTACTTAAAGGTAAAAGAAATTGTAATTTTAGTAGGTTTAGGGGCCGGTAAAAAAACTTTTTAGTTTGCAATGAGGGGGGTAAATGTTTTTAAAAAAGATTCAGGGCGGGATAAAAATACAATTATTTCTGACTACGCCCCTGCCCTGATAAATGATAACATTGTTCATGGAAACCAATTCTAATATGCATAAATATATAAATGTATGTATTATAGCTTACAATATTGCCCATGCTTACTGCTTAAGGTTTGGACTCAAAGGGCGGGAGCTGAACACCATGTTGTTGTTGTCACCCAACTTTTACTCTATGCACAACTCACTGTCTTCCACCCTCCTTCTCTCTCTCTCTTTCTCTGCACTCTCTATCTCTTTATATTTCTCTCTAACCTCTCTAACTCTCTCTCTCTCTCTCTGCTCTCTACCTGTCTGTACTCTGAAATATAAACATTAACACTGTGAACTGTATAGCCGACACAAGAGCTCAAGTGTATAATGAACGGGAATACAGAATCAAATACACTCAAAGTAAATTATTTATTACAAGAATACATAAACTTGTCATGTTTGAATTTTTATTACAGTAATATTATAAATTATTAAATTATCAAGTTCATGAATTCGAATAAAAATCACAACATAAAACAAGAAAATCACAACATAAAACAAGAAAATCACATTTCACAACACTGAAAGCAAATCTCATAACCCCAAACCTCACATTTAACAACTCACATTTAACAACTCAAAACTTGAAATCGCAATTAAGAACCAAAAATTCTAAATCACCAACATCGATTGAATAAATAGAACAGCTTTAAATAAAAAATTGTAAACTGCATTTTTAGGGGGGAAGTTTAAACCTTTTTTTTAGGACATAATCATAAATCATAATCGATTCAGTAATAATACTGATTTAATTTTAATCTATTTTGTAAATAATACTGATTAAAAATGTGAAAATTTATAAATTATTTTCATTGCGGACGAAATTTTATTTAATTTTGATCAACATTATTTTGTTATTATTAATTCTTATCTGTATCAAACATTCGCCCTTCCTGGTCCGTATCAAGCAATAATCAGAGCTAATACAACTCAACATATACAGGGTGTCCTGGTCCGTATCAAGCAATAATCAGACCTTATACAACTCAACATATACAGGGTGTCCTGGTCCGTATCAACCAATAATCAGAGCTTATACAGCTCAACATATACAGGGTGTCCTGGTCCGTATCAACCAATAATCAGAGCTAATACAACTCAACATATACAGGGTGTCCTGGTCCGTATCAAGCAATAATCAGAGTTTATACAACTCAACATATACAGGGTGTCCTGGTCCGTATCAAGCAATAATCAGATCTTATACAACTCAACATATACAGGGTGTCCTGGTCCGTATCAAGCAATAATCAGAGTTTATACAACTCAACATATACAGGGTGTCCAAAAACCATGGGGATTGGGCGTCGAATACTAGATCATCTTTGTTAATAATTAGCATAGTAATTAGTAATACCTGATTCCAAAAATCAAACATAATAACGTCTGTCATAGTATTTTATTAAAACGGTGAAAGGCTATATTAATGTGTCTGTAATGTCTGCAAGATGAACAGTGAAGACGGACAGTTTACTTTGTTAGCATATAGGAATTTTCTTGTTTTTCTACCCCTGATTTTATAAGCATAGCATAGGTTAAGTTTAGTCATATATTTTTTCTTTTAAATCATTTATGCAGAGTAATTTCTAGCACATCATCAATATTTATTCATGATATTCAAACCAATCATAAATATTTATTTATGATATTCAGGCCAATCATAAATATTTATTTATGATATTTAGACCAATTATAAATATTTATTTATGATATTCAGGCCAGTCATAATTATTTATTTATGATATTCAGGCCAGTCATAAATATTTATTTATGATATTCAGACCAATCATGAATATTTATTTATGATATTTAGACCAATCATAAATATTTGTTCATGATATTCAGACCAATTATAAATATTTGTTCATGATATTCAGACCCATCATAAATATTTATGCGTTATAAATATTTAGACAAGTGCTGGTGAGCGAACGACTGAGCCAACTGACCGAGCCAAGGTGCTGCAACAACTTGGTTCAAGAATGTGACGCAAATCATAATAACTCGAGATATTACTTTAAAGGAGCTTTTAATTCATTTTCATGTGATTCTTTCAACAAATGGATTTAGATCTTCATAATTCAGAGAAAAATTTCTTTCAATGTTTTACTAATTTCTTCGAGTGCAGTGCAATGTGCATGGTGGAAATTATGGATAAAAGAAATGGAGAAACGTGTCACTTGAAGAAAAATACGATTTTTTTTTTGGGGGGGGGGGAAATTTGTGAAAAAAATATTTTTTTTGAGAACGGATTTTCTGAATATATTGGTTAATTTTTGGCTGATCTTGGTCTAAAACCTGAGTTTAGGAAGCCATATTTGATTTTTAAAAACAAGGAATTGTAATTTATTTCAGTTTTTAAACAATCACATTTAGTAAAATTGCATTTATTTAAACACTTGAAAAATTATTAAAGCGGCTTAAGTGTACTGTTGGGGTTATATATCAAAAGCATTTTTATTTTTAAAATAAGCGTGATCTAAACGAACGGATTAGATATATAATATTTATGTACAGTTCTGTTGCAAAGACCTTTCAGCAAAATAAATGTTCAGTTGGTAGTATAAACATTGAACATTACTATTGAATTTTGAAAAAGGGTTAAGCTATAATTATATGTCAATTTTGAGAGAATTATGCGAAGGAATATTAGCGATTTTCATGCCAACTCTCAGAGAAAATATCTCTTGGAAATCGTTATAAAAAAGAATTTAAAAAATGAAAAGGAGGTCAATCTGACAAATTTTTTATACCTCTAATAAAAGTCTTGAACACTCCCTTTAAAATGGTGGTGTACGGCCAATTCTTGTGATCTGCTCTTGTTTTCATTTTATCCTGTAAACCCAATGATTTTAACAGTTAAGTACAATCACAATACAGTATATTTAAGTATCCACATATCATGCTTTTTAAACCTGTTTCTTCATTTTATGAGACATTTAGCGTCAAATCATCGCTCGGCTTTTCTATTTTATAGCCAGTATTTTTCATAATAAAAGATTATTTAAAAATATGTGTTTTATTTTTCAATTAGTATTTTTTATATGTGTAACATAAAAAATTTGCTCTCCACATTTTCATTTTCAATATACAGGGTTACCCATTAAAATTTTACTGACTCAAAACTCTACTATTCCGTCGATCTACTGAAATTTGGTCTCAAGTTTAGTCCTTTTGGTTGAAAACAAATTGGCAAGGAAATCAATAAGTTTTAAACTTTTTGGGAAGGAATCATTGATTCAACATCAATTGTGATAAATAACTCTTGTAAGATTTTAAAGTCATCAGATGCATCACAATACCATTATCTAAAGATTGGTTCACTTTCAAATTGAAATCTATCCGTCCTTAAATGAACCCTCTATGCAAAGAACGGATGCCCGATTTATAACGGTATTCTGAGAACTCGGTGTATTTGTCTCTAAAATGGTGTTCAAATTTCTGGAAATCTGGAGTGTACGCTAGCGTATAGAGTCAACAAAACTTAAGATGCCGTTACATGTCCAACACGGTTTTCAAAACTAAAACGTGAAGTTTTTTTTACTTTGACTTCTAGACATCTATTGATATTCTTATATAACACCTTACAAAGTCTTCAACAATTCAGGCGCGTATACAGGGGGGGGGGGCAGTAGTCCACTACCACCTCCCCGGGGATTTATGGGCAAATGTTAAAAGTCAGGTGTGTCCTTTTCCCTTTAGAAAATAGTTGACAATTTTCTTGTCGCTTGCGCCTTTTTATCTAAAATCCCCCCCAACAATTATTGCTATATGCATTATGCAAGTGTTTGGCATGTATTCAGGAGACTACTCATGACTTAAGTTGCCAATCAAAATTTGAGGCAAATCGGTCCATCGGTTAGGATGGGACATACAAACAGACATTATTTTTTTAAATATATGCAATTTATGATAGGAAATATGAGGATAAGACTCAAATGACGACCTGAAACTAAAATGTCAGATCGGTAAAGTTACATCGTCTATACGAAACATCCCCCCTACAGAACTTCTGACCGAACTTTCCGACCTACTGCAATAACGGATCTACGCCAGCTATTTATTTTTGTATTATTTGAGGGTATATTAGGTTGACAATTCTGGGCCGAGCGCTGCGGCTACAAGTCCATATGGCAGCTGTAAAACCAAGTGCTAGTAGGTCGGATGTGTAGTATAGCGGATTTTGAGCAGGTCAGAAGTGGAGTATAGCGGATTTGTGTAGGTCGATAACACACCACCATAATGAATGTGACTATCCATTATCCTTAAAAATTTAATTCAATTCTAAAATCCTGTCAACCATTTAACATTTTTACTTTTTTAACTCACGGGTATCTAATAAACATTAAATTTATCACAAACTCCAGGAATAAATCTGTTAACGCTATTCTTAGCTTTGATGTACATAACGTAGTCCTTTCTATTGGTATGTTCCATCACAACTCTTAAATCCCTTGATATTTGTCATAATCTATCAAAATATTTATTCACATTAAGAAATACTGTCCAGATACGCGATGTAATAAGATGGTTCCACTTATTAAAACCATGCATCATTCAGTTGACGATTTCTGTAGAAAAACATGTTTGTTTGTTCACAATCATCAATTCCGATAAACACTTAACTTAATTATTTTTACGACAAACTTTCTCTAAATTAATAAAATATAAGATAAGTTGAGAAATATTTTATTTTTACGATGATTACGGTGAGAGGGCGGAGTAAGTAATTAGACACGCCCTCTTACACAGGTTATCTCACACTATAAGTTCACAAAGCATTCACGATATACTACAAATTAATATATAATTATTATTCAAGCTATAAGTATTGAAGAATAATTACAACCATTTGTGAAAATGTTTAATAATATGGCATTACTAGTGTATTTACTTAGCCGTTTGGGGGGAAGTGAGAAGCCTTGAAACAATCACTCATAGTAAAAACGTATTCAACCACACATTTTCAAAGGTACAAGGAACAGCTGGATTGCGCAAAAATCTAGAAAATAGCGATTAAATCGTTTTTAATCGCTATTATTCACCAGGCATTCCTTGCACCCTATTTTCTAGTTCAACGATGTAATCACAAATAATAAATCAGCGGAGATAAAAAAAAATGGGGCCTTCATCAGTTAGAAATATAACACTCAAATAATTCTTACATAATCCTTGAACGTTGAAGAATGTTTTGAATAAATTATTATATTATAAATATAACCGATTGAGGCCCTGATAGATATCTGTTACATTTCTGCGGGGATCATCATTGTGCGGGATTTAAATATTTTTTCAAATCATGTTTTTGTGTTAAATAAATTTGTTTGTGCTCTAGACGAAGTTTCAGCAGTGTTGGGGGAGGAGAGGGGCATAAGAATCTAAACAATTAAATGCAGAAACTACTTAAATATTTAAAAATCGATAAAAATATTGATAAAATGTTATTTTAAAAATATTTTTGAACAACATAATATAACAACTTAGATATATAAACACTTAAGACTGTAGACGAAGTAAACTGTTCACTTTATTGGCGTAAAGGAAGTGTAAAAAAGGCGTTCTTCTATTTTGGATAATATCAACGTACACTTCAGTACGCATTGTACCTAACGTACTTGACCATGTACAGTACAAATCTTGAAAGTATTGAAGTTAGCGAAAAGTTTTCACGCAACTTCGAGCGCAAAATTTTGAATTTGCGGTTGCACTAAATATATATAAATCGTCCTTGTGCGATTCCTATTAGCACGTCAGCAATCTTCCGACTGAAAATCTGAAAATAAAAGATAAAAAATTTTCCTGTTGGAAATACCCAGTAATGAGAGGCTCAATTAAACATAAGAATTGAGTGCAGTCATCGTTCTTCAACGCAGGATTAAATAATGAATTATGATATCCCTACTTGAAAAAATTAACGTGGATAGGTGATAAAAAAAATATATTTTTGCATTTTTAAATTAAACTAAATTAAAATAAAGGTGTCCAGATTTATCCTTATTTATAAAACCAGAAGTAAAACTTGTGTTTGAGATTGCGCTAATCTTCAACGCTTGATCACGATGTCCAAAGTGTCAATTTTTGGATTCGAGAATGTATTCTTGATTTCTGTAGGTCATTTCTGTTAGGTTTTCTTTAAGCAATATCCTCAAGGAATTCTATCAATCCTTCAGATGACAAAATATTAGGATTATTGCCTATTCCGGGGACCAGTTAACAACCTCATAAAGTAGCAATTTCGTATACTGCTTTAATACTGACAACTTTTGTCTTCAGAAGTATTACAATCGGAATTTAACATTAAAATACGGATATAAAATTTAAAAGAGTAAAACCGGTTTTTCCTATTTCCTTGAATTGAAGCTTTTTTATTTTACCTAGTTCCAGACTTTTAGGAATGAATCCCAGGATCCGGTGCACACCGCCATACCATCATCTGTTACTCCCAGGCAGCTAACACGGTTATCATGTCCAACCAGGACACCTGGACAATACAACATGGAAATCAATGTCACTGTGGTTTAAAGGTCTCAAGCTCAAGAAAAGATCGATGAGAATTTTGCCAATTACTTCTTAAAAACCAAAGCTAACTTCCAAGTGCTTTATAATGCTAAAATGTTACTGTAACAGAAAAGCAAAAGTGAGAAAGATCGGTAAAATCAATTCCAAAAGCGTTGCGACTCTTCAAAGTCGACCTTCTCTTAAAAATTGACGAGACATTTTTATAAGCAGGCTGAATCTATGTGTAAGGGTTAAAGATTTTTCACAATCAATTCCAAGTAGCAAATGTAATTTTTTTTTTAAATTCTCAGAAACATTTAAAAAAGACATTTTTCGCTAATATCAAAATTGACCATCAAAAATGGCCTTTTGTGATAAAAAGTGTCAGTAAGATTGCTTTTTTCTTTCTCAAAATATGTCGAAATGGACATTAAAAGATACGTCTTACCAAGCCATATTCAACGGAAAAAACCGTCTTACAACTTAATAAAAAATAGCCAAGTTGGAGCTGAAAAACTAACGAAAACAGCTGATTTTATGATTTCCCTAATTTTTTTTTCACTTCAATGCTCCTAGATCGCATATTTTAGAATATTTTTACAAACCGTTTGCTGCGTTGAATAATGGATTGCAAGACGAATCTTTGGATGTTTTGAAAAAATTAAAAAATCACTTGTATGACCGGGGTTTCGGCCACAAATAGCCATTTTCGATGCTTTTTGTAAATGCTGCTTAAAATGAAAAAAGTAGTATTTACTACTTGATTTGTTTTTCATGAAAATGTTTCACCCTTAATGTTTATATTCAGTCATGAATGTGGAAAAAAATAGTTTGCCAGACACAGTCCAATTTATTATTTTTCCCTCTCCCAAATCATTTCCTTATTTTCTAAATCCTTGCTTTTCCGAAGGTTACATTTGTTTATACTGTTTTTTATAAACAAAAAGTTCTCAAATTAATAATGATAAAGATAAGAGGATTTTACGGTTAAAATCTTGAGGAAACTGAACTGAAGCTTCCCATATTATTATTATTATTATCAGATAACCCATCATTCAATGAGCCCTTAAAGTACGTTAGGCAAGGTCAAGGCCGGGTAGGTGCAGTTGGATGTGGGTTGGACGTAGTTAAAATTAGAAGTCCATTTAAATCCGTGAAAACTCGATATTTCCTTTAAAACTACTCGACATATATAATCAAATACCCCATTAGATCGGGTTTCACTGGGTGAATTTCCATAGCATTATAAATATATCTAACCTGCTCTCTCTGCACGCATACTGTCCCAGACATTACAGTTGAAATCATCGTATCCTGCCAGGAGTAAACGTCCAGACTTACTGAACGCTACACTAGTTATCCCGCAGATTATGTTGTCATGACTGTACATACATAACTCCTACAAAAAAATAATCTCCATTTTTCAGATTTAATTGTGAAAATTAATCAATAAAAATCAATTGAAGAATAATTGAAAGTTTTTGATTTTGATAATGGGAACATGCATGATTTAATAATTGATTTTTTATGTTCAAAGATATAAAAACATGTCTGCTAATAGAAAAATTGGGAAAGGGGTCGTTTACGGTGACCCAGCTCATGTGCTGGTTTTAATGAAAAAAACATAGAAAAATATGTTTATCAAAATGGAAGAAATTACTATTTCTTTACTTTAAATGTTTTTACACTAGTTCCAGAATTAAGAAAATCCCCAACGCGCTGAAAAAATTTTTCCTCATATTTTTCAAAATTAATGAAACATTGTTAAAAAGGTGTCGGTTGAAAAAAACTGAATAGACTAAATCCCTATTTTCTGTAAACTAAATAAGTGCCTTGTATTATCTTGAAAAACAAGAAGTTGAATTCTCAAACTTGAATGTTATCAGCGAAAAAATTGAACCAATAAAGTAATTAATTTGCAACTTCAGTTTGTTTGAACAGTGAAAAATTGACGTCTCTGGTCACAAATATTCATTATTTAATATGAGTATTTGGGAGAAATTAATATTTAATCATAACAGGCTTATAGCACTCCTCTTTTCAGTAGTAAATACAGTCTTTTGTTGCTGATATATTAAAATTTAAACTAAAAAATAAAACTTTCACGAATTTGCCTTTTTTGTTGATGCAAGTTTTCAAACTAAGGATTTTTTTTTGAATAATTTGAATTGGCAGTTAACTTTCCCAGCTCGGGTCATGTGGAGTTCCACAAAGAAATCTGTGAACCCGTTCCCCGTTGAAGAGGTCAAACAGAAAAAACATGAACCCGTTTCTACGTAAATACGTTTGATAAATACAAAGAAACCATAGATTAAATAAAATAACAGATAAGATACTAGATGTAGTCTTTTCTAGATTTGAATGAAACTCGTTCACAACAGCCCTGAGGCAGAAGCTCAGAGGAGTTTCGCGCTGTCGGCGAAGAACAGACTGCGCGAAACGATAGATTTTAAATTTAATAAAAGTGTTGTAATTTCCGCAAAAATGTGTCAAAAAATAATACACCTGTTGTATATATATTAATTGTGTGTGGGGGGAGGGAGGGAGGTGTTATGTACCTGATCAGCACGGATATCGAAGAGCCGACAAGTTGCGTCATCTGAGCCGGTAGCAAAGGCGTATCCGTTAGGGAAAAACTAAAAATGAACAGAATTAAGAATTCGAAGAAAATTATCCAAATTTTTATCTGAAATAAAATTTACGCAATTGTTAAAAATTTAGAAAGCCTTCCGATTCTAGTTTCAAGTATAAAAGTTTATAATTATTTGACAAAAACGGATTGACGAGGATTATAAAAACTTACCGTGACAGCGTTGATATCGGATTCGTGTCCAGTAAATGTTTGTTTACAGTTGCCATCCCTGACATCCCACAACTAAATAAAATATATTTAAATAAAAACAGTTAAACAAATATTTTTTTCTCTTCTACAAAACAATTTATCAATGACGAGCAAAAATTTTTATGTCAAAAAGGTTCGTCTTTTTTTGGGGGG